AATCCAAGAGGAAGAGATGACAATCATAATTTCTATGCACCAAATACTAGTGCACCCAAGTATATAAAACAAATACTAATGGACATGAAAAATCATATAAGCATTAATACAATAGTAGTGGGGGACGTTAGTACATGATTGTCATAAATAGATAGAACAACTAGACAAAAAACAAGCAACAAAATACTAGAACTCAATCAAACTCTTGAACAAATGAACTTAACAGGTGTTTACAGAGTGTTCCATCCCAGAAAATCAGAATACACTTTTTTTTCATCTGCACATGGGTTATTCTCCAAAATAGACCACATACTCACTCATAGAACATATTTAGGTAAATGCAAAGGAACTGAAGTTATTCCCTGTATATTATCAGATCGTAGTGCAAAGAAATTGGAGATCAATAGCAAAAGAAACTGCAAAAGTTTCATATACACATGGAAATTGAACAATACACTTCTGAATAACCTATGGGTCACAGAATAAATTAAAGAAGAAATCAGACAATTCCTACAATTAAATGACAATGACAATACAACTTATTGAAATCTATGGACACAATGGAAGCAGTCTTATGAGGGAAATTCATAGCAGTGAATACTCATACTAGGAAAACAGACCAAGCCTAATTAAACAACCTCAAGCTTCTAGAAAAAGAAGAGCAGGACAAACCCAAAGCCCATAGAAAGGAGGAAACTATAAAGATCAGGGGAGAAATCAATGTAATGAAGACTAAGAGAACAATGCATAAAATCAATGAATCCAAGAGTTGATTCTTTGAAACAATCAACAAAATTGACAAACTCTTAACCATCCCTATCAGAAAAAGGAAAGAAAAGGCCCAAATCCATGCAATTAGGAGTGAAAATGATGAAATTACAACTTACGAAGCAGAAATTCAGAGGATCATCAATACCTACTTTGAGAACTTAAACGTATATGCCAATAAGATGGAAAACAAAGAAGAAATGGTCAGATTCCCAGATAAGCATGAATTACCAAAGTTAAATGAAGAAGACCTAAACAACCCAGTATCAATCAATGAAATTTAAAATATAATTTAAAACTTACCAACTAAGAAAAGCTCATGTCCTGATGGCTTCACCGATGAATTCTACAAGACATTTAGAGAGAAACTACTGCCACTACTGGTTAAATTCTTCAATGAAATAGAAACGGAAGCAATACTCCCAAATTCTTTCCTGAAAGCAAGCATCACCTTGATCCCCAAAGCAGAGAAAGACCCAACTGAAAAAGAGAAGTATAGGGCAATCACACTAATGAACATAGGTGCAAAAATCTTAAATAAGAAACTGCCAAATAGAATGCGGAAGATCATCAAGAAGATCATACATCCTGACCAAGTGAGATTTACCCAGGGATGCAGGGATGGTTCAACGTATGCAAATCAATAAACACAATACACTATATCAATAGAGCCAAGGACAAAATCATATGATCATCTCAATAGATGCAGAAAAAACATTTGACAAAATCCAACAGGCATTTATGACAAAAACCCTACAAAAAATTGGAAGACTATCTCTACCTCAAACTGATAACAGCCATCTATGAAAAACCAACAGCCAACATCATACTAAACAGTCAAAAACTGAAATCCTTCACGCTAAAATCAGGAACAAGACAAGGATGTCCACTATCACCACTC